TCCACCGTCAACGCCCGCATGGAGAACACCATCGTGCCCTTCGTCAAGAAATCCCTGGAAGTCAACTCGAATTTGATCAAAGTCTTCAACAAGAAGTTGGGTTTGCCAGAGGGAACGTTGGAGAAGTTCCACACGCATGATATCCCGAGCGGAAGCGAGGCGAGGTGCATCAAGAACCCGCCGAAGCCTGAACAACCGAATCAGGACATCAAGGTCGCTATCGGTGCGCATACCGACTTCGGGTCCTTGGTGAGTTTCGGTTCCTCGGCGGGCTCTCGTGAGTTTTACGAAGTATTGACTATCGGGATATTCACAGTCCTTCTTGCACAACCGTCTTGGAGGTCTTCAAGTCCTCCCACCTGGATACACCGAGTGGCAATACGTCAAGGTATGCATTAGGTCTCCGTCATTCGGCTTCCGCCTGCTCACGTCACATCGTTTCCAGCCCATCCCCGGTCACGCCATCTGCAACATCGGCGACTCTCTCGCCATCTTCAGCGGCGGCATCCTCCGCTCCAACCTGCACCGCGTCGTGTACGTGCTTCCTCCAACAAACACCGAATAACCCACACTCACACACTCACATCCACATTCTTCTAATCACACAGCCCACCGCCCCGCGAACAATCCAAATACGAACGCTGGTCCCTCGTCTTCTTCACCCGCCCAGGCAACACGCACCCGCTGCGCGCCCTCGCAGACCTCAGCCCCATGATCGCTGACGCCGTCTCCAAAGCCCCCAACCCCGAGACCTACAACACCGGCGCGACTGCTGGAGATTGGTTCTCGAGACGGATCAAGAACCAGAGACTGAAGAACCGCACGGTGAGCGTTGGCTTTATATTTTGATTGATGGGTATGAGGAGCTGATGTTTGGATGCTTTGATTCTTAGGGACCAGAGACTTGGGCTGCGAGCCGTGGAACAGAGCATGCGCCTTTGGTCAAGTAACTTGTTTATAATGCGTACATGTCGAGTAGGATAGAAGTTTTGGTAACATATGCCGATGTCAATTTATGATAACTTGTGATTCAAAAGGATGACTGGGAATGTAGATATTTGTCTTGCTTCTGGGCTTCAGGAATGCCAAAAAAGGACTCCCTGGCGGGGAGTCGAACCCCGCTTTCGCGCGTGACAGGCGCGTGTACTAACCGATATACTACCAGGGAATGAAACGTCAAGCATTATGGTGTTTCAAAACGTTACTGATACACATTCAGACTCGTGAGCTAAGAATACAATTACTAGCATTATAGGCCGACATCCTTTCTTTCTTCGTCCACTCTAGTCACCCAATGGGTAAGGGTGGAGGATTTGGCCATAGTACAACTCCGCCTCCGCACTCGCCAAAAACACGTACGACGGCGCGATCTCCGACGGCTGCCCCGTCCTTCCAATCTGCGACTTCTCTCCGAAACCTTCCATCTGGTCCGCTGGACGTGATGCCGGCTGAAGAGGTGTATGAACAGGTCCAGGAGCCACCGCGTTGACACGCTAAGAGAGGGGTAATCAGTAGGTTCATTTGACGACAGACCCTCAAGGTTGTCAACTTACGATTCCTTTCGGTGTCAGGTTCTTTGCCAACGCGCGAGTGAAGCCCACGATTGCTCCTTTCGTCGCGGTATAGTCCACCATAGACGGGGAACCACGGAAAGTCGTCACGCTCGTGGTATTGATGATACTGGAACCCTTCTCCATATGAGGTAACGCATACTTCGTGATCGCGAACATCTGCAATATGTTCGTCTTGAACGTGCTTTCAACACTATCCAAGTCGATATTGGCGAAATCCTTCTCCATGGTCTGTTTGGACGCGTTGTTGACCAGGATATCGATCTTGCCAAATTTGTCGATGTGCTTCTTGACAATCTGGTCGGCTTGCTTGAAGTTTTCAAGGTCGAAGGCAACAGAAAGACCCTGTCGACCTTCACGCTCAATAGCAGCGACAGTGTCGTCCGCGTCCTTTTGCTCTTCAGGTAAATGTGCGATGGTGACGTCGGCACCCTCGCGTGCGAAGAGGATAGCCACTGCACGGCCAATGCCAGAACTATTCTCGTTGTCAGTATGCAGTAACGACGACAAGAGTCAGTACGTACTCTCCACCGGTGATCAATGCCTTCTTTCCTTTCAACTTCCCGACACCGATGTACGGTCTCGGACCACTCGCGGTCTCCAAGTTCGTGTCAAACGGCTCCGGCTTCATGTCCTTCTGCAACCCCGGCAAGTCCTGCTCCTGCTTCGGGATCTTCTGCTTCAAGGTCGTGCCTTCGTGATCCTTTGAACTCATTGTGGGAGGTGTGTAGATGGTGTATGTGCGGCGGGTTGTAAAGACGAGTGTTGGTGGTGGGAGATGTTTTGTGAGGATGCGGCGGGCGAGCATGATTTATACGAAGGACAGCGGATCCACACCCCTTTTTAGCTGGTGCTCACCTCCACATGTCCACTTGGTGAAGAGGAGATGACGTCACGCATTGGGTGTTGGTCTGCCTGGAGTCGGACTCCGCTCCTTCTGTACGATGAAGTTGGAGCAGGTCACGCTTTGTGCGGGAACAATCCAGAACTCGAACCACGTACAGTACTTGGTCCTGTTCAATGCGAGAAAAACATCGCCTTCGCGCCGTTATCTGACCACGCAGGCGACTGTTAGATTTACGAAGAACGCTAATGTCAACGGGATGTCTGTACGCCTGAAGGTTATAAAATACACACCACACTCCGGGGGTTGTGAGATCCCCGACGCGTCCTTCCCATCTCCGCTCCGACCTTTCACGCGCCCGCTGTGACGAACCATGGCCAAAATGTATATGTGCAACTGGACAAATCCTTTCACCTATGTCGTCAACGATATTTCTGAAGTCAGAACTGACGAGAGGGAGGGTAAATCAGCAGCAGTTCAGCAACAGTAGACACTCGGAAGTACGAGTAGCTCATGGCTGAAAGCTGCTGACCAATCTTTCCCATACGCCAACTAGGTTCCACGTTTACATCTCATAAAGCTCTCTCATCCACTTATTTCTGCTCCTCACCCTCCTTCCTTCCTCCCAGATTCACTTCTGGCCAAAATGAAATTCTCCTTCACCCTCCTTTCCGCCGTCGTCTCACTCGGCGGTGCACTCGCTTCCAACGTCATCGACCTCACCCCGGACAACTTCCACGAAATTATCGGAAAGGGAAAGCCGGCACTCGTCGAGTTGTGAGTAACGCGTTGCTACGTGCTGTCTCCGCAGTTCACTGAAAGGACGGATCTGTAGCTTCGCCCCATGGTGTGGTCATTGCAAGGTACGCCGTTCCGTTGCGTCTGCGGTCACATGAGTCTGACAAGACCCTCCAGAACCTTGCTCCCACATACGAGCAACTCGCGGACGCTTTCGCACACGCGAAAGACAAAGTTATCATTGCAAAGGTCGATGCTGACGGCGAGGGCAAGCCTCTCGGCAAGGAGTACGGTGTCACCGGCTTCCCCAGTACGTGTTTATTTTCTAGGAATCTTACTTTCGCTGACACGATCGCGGGGTTGCAGCCTTGAAGTGGTTCAACGCCGCTGGCGAGCCCGAGAAGTACGAGGGTGGACGTGATTTGGATGCTTTGGCCGGATTGTGAGCCTTCAATCCGCTTATTCATTGTGTTTCCTCTGACGCGTCCGTTTCAGTGTGACCAAGAGCTCCGGTGTCAAATCAAACATCAAGCCCCCTCCCCCACCCGCTTTCAAGGTTTTGGACACACACAACTTCGATGAGGTCGCATTGGTGAGTTGATACGGCAAGGGAAACCATAGTTCGCGCTCATGGGACTTCTATCCTGCAGGATTCGTCGAAGGATGTTCTCGTCACTTTCACTGCCCCCTGGTGCGGACACTGCAAGCGTATGAAGCCTTTCTACGAGGAGGGTAAGTACTAAAGTGGATTGTGACATGCAGATGACTTAATGCTTGATATTTCTAGCTGCTAAGATCTTCGCTCCCGAGTCCAAGGTGAGTATTCATGCACCCGAGGTGAACGATAAGAAACTAATATATGTCCCGGCAGTGTGTTCTTGCCAATGTCGACGCCGATGATATCAAGAACCGCCCTCTCGCCGAGAAATACGGCATTGGCAGCTTCCCCACCATCTACTTCTTTGGAAAGGACAGCAAGGGTACGTTCTCTCCGTCATACTAGCATACCTCTACACGCCTTAACCTTCTAATCCGTTCAGTCGAACCTGAGCTCTACGAGGGCGAGAGGACCACGGAGGCCTTCGTTGAATACCTCAACACCAAGTGCGGAACCCAGCGTTCACCCAAGGGCGGATTGAGCGACGCCGCCGGCCGTATCCCCGAACTCGACACCCTCGCTGAAAAGTTCTTCGACGCTGCCGGACATGCCAGGCAAGAAATCTTCAACGACGCTGCCAAGATTGCCGAGACAGTCGGTCCTGCTGCGAAGCACTACATCAAGGTTATGGAGAAGGTCGTGAACGGCTCAGAGGAGTATCTTGAGAAGGAGTCCAAGCGGTAAGTTTTTTTTTCTCCCATCCTTTTCGTCGTTTGTGGTGGGTGATACTGATTTTGCATCGTAGATTGGCTAGCATCCTCTCAAAACGCACACTCTCTTCCGCTAAGCTCGACGAGATCAAGATCAAGGCCAACATCCTCAGTGCATTCCGAGCTGTTGAGGCAAAGGTCGAAGAGGTCATCGGTCGTGAGACTGCCGAGCTCTAAGTGACACTTGTCAACGCGAGGTTATATAGGAATGTATTTTGCTGCATGTTCCTTCGAATCGTATTTAATGTTGGATACAAAAGCATATTGACGAGCAGCCTGAGGCCTGAGTCTAGAGACGCTTGAAAGAATGTGGTTCGTGTGTCCGTGGGTCATCTCAGCCACCATCCCATCCCGCGAAAGGATTCAGGCTGTCTTGAGCCGCTTTTACTGTTCACAATGGTGGAGTACCCAACCCACATGCGGCTGCATACATGATATCGTACCTTGAAAAAAATCGCAGCGCACAAACCAAAAAGAACTGGACACACTGGGAATTGAACCCAGCACCCCCCGCAAACTCGCAGAGTTTAGGACTGCTAAGCGGATGTGATAACCAACTACACCATGTGCCCTTGAGTGCTGTCGCGAAAATGTTCTTTATTTCCAGTGAAACTAGCTCGGGTACCGGACCGGCATAGCAGGAGAACGTTGAAACCACGCGTTTCGACCTTACTGTAGCAATTGCTGTCTCTTCTCCTCGTGCACTCAACGCAGCCTTCGAGATTCGTATTTTGTGTCTTGCATAGAGACTCGGATGCTGGTGACCTGCGCAGGAGGGTGTACTGCTTTGACGCGTTTGTTCACCAGGAGCGAATGGATTCTGTCCGTAGTGAGTGTCTACCTGCTCTCTCTGGAAAGCTGCGTTGCATTGCGTTGTGCTGATCCCGGACTTTCCTTTGATGCACAGGTTGGAGCCTATGTTGATGAATATGCCTTTGCTATGAAATGTTTAGACCGTACATGCACCTTGTACATGCATCGTACCAATCTGCCAGGTCTTTCGCAACGATGGAACGTCCTACGAAGCTCGGCCTGATTAAAACACATCGCATCCACTTGGATGTATGGTAACATGCACAGTTTTCTACTCACTAATCCGAGGACGAGAGGAGAAATAAGTTTTACGGTCGTTGTCGTTTCAATCCATGAACCGAACCCAGGATTTTGAGAAGATGGTATGTGGTTCACCACGATGCCGATGGACATTTGGGTAATGTATCACTTTCCTTCCTCTAGTGGATTTCCGGTGTTTCTACCGTAGATGCTTGGAAGACTTATCAGACGAGTTCGAATGAGCTAAGTTTTATATCTGTACCGTGCGCGGACCCGTAGCTGTCGTGGCCGGATAATTTACGGGGGCGGGTACGGCTAGAATGGATTCAACGTACGTGGACAACAATTTCTCGTTGCATTGAGTGCTGAATTTTACCTTGAAGCGGGAATGACATCACTAATACCTGAGACAGCAACACCATGTAGTCCCTTCGCTGAGGACGAGAATTCAAACCGCGAAAGTGTCATCAACACCATTCAGCGAACGCGTCCGCTCGTTGAGAAGAGGTTTCACGGATTTTTCATTTCCGCAGCTTTTAATCAGCCTTCTGTCACCGTCCACCGGAAAAGCGAGACGTCTCCTGTACTCATCGATATGAATTGCACTCGTCACTTCAGTCTGTAGCACAAGTAAGTCCTGCCACACCCTCGCATCCATACCTTATGTTACAAACGCGTTGCTCATGCAGATCAACCTGCATATCCCAGATGCGCCTTTGGGTACGGGCTTGCAGGATGCTTATTGAACCAGGGACCACACACGCAACTTGAAGCTCTCGACCGACCGTTCTGCTGATACAATTTATCTATGGAGAGCTGACTCCCACTGTCTCCCTGCAATGCTTCCAGTTGCTCATTGCTGAATGGATTTCGTAGGATATCACTCACGGTCGCGCGCCGATAGCATGAAGAGAAGTACGCAGGCACATGGGCTCATGCGAATGTTGGCCGTCACGCTAAGTCAACAGAAAGACGAAGTGATGATTACCCTACCCGGTGAGTTGCTGGTCAATATGTGGATAAAGGACTCCGTTGCGCTCACATCGATGCTCGGTAGATTTGCCAATATACTATTCTCGCCGCTCGCTTTGGAGATACAACCCTGCAAGGACAACAGATTGTTCTCCGTACACTGACTTGGACCTTGGCTGGAAATTGAGCTTTGAAAAGGCAAAATGCAAGCTTTGATTGACCGGTCGAATTTGTTCAGTATGTGTAGCAGTCCCATCTTCTGGCTCCGAGGAATGTTAGGAAACTGCGTCCTTAATCCACGGACGCGTTCAGGTTTGTCTCATCGGAACTTTCATAGCGCATTTCTCACCTCGCTGAAAATGTACAGAGCCCTGGGCCACTCTCATGATCCTTTCCTCTAAATTGGCTCCATCTATCTCCCCTCACACATAAATTCCGTGGCCATACCTCATTCCAAAAAGCTGTCAGTCAAACTATCTTGGCCCGATCGGACACTTCCACGCCGTTGGTCGGCTTCCCAACTCTCGCAAGTAATCCCAACTGCCTTCCTGTCGGGCACCGCGGCACTCCGCTGACGAACAATGCGGTTTCGAACAGGTACGGAGTCATAAGAAGACCTTTGGCATGTATTGAACTACGGTCTCGGGCTGTTTTGAATTCAGCAGTTATTCAATCGTACCCACACTTCTCAAAATGGAAAGTCCCGAAAATGGTCAAGTCGGGTGGTGGCCTGGAAATTTCAGAAACGACTTCGGTGATATCAAGGCACTTTCAAAGAACATATACGCATGGCCCGGAAGAGTCATACGCATGAAACATGGACCACCGGTCAATGAAAAGCTATCAAAGTGTACGGCGGCAATAAATTAGAGCGGCGATCACACGAGGGGGGGACAATGCACTTTTTGCCTCGGTCGTTACTCACGTAGCTTAATGGAGGTCACACAAGCGCAGTGTCCCCGACATTCTCATTGCCAATGTGCTCCTGAGATGCCTGGATCGGGGCCGACGAAGAAGCCGTGTATTAGTTGGGGCCAGGGTGCGTACACGTTGCATGTGGGGATGACTGGTAGGGGTGGAGATTGTACTGACGATTGTGGTTAATGACAGATGGAGCCGTGCCATTGCGAAGCAGTGAGCATATACAATCGCCGATGAATATAGTGTCGTGGGCAGGGTCTTGAAGGCATCTTCGATTAATCTGGTTCTAACGGACAATGCAAGGACGCACGAAGCATTGACCACGATGACTCGGTGTCGCACAATATGATCCTTCCTGACGTCGAAGAGATCGAGCGGGAGTTCTAGCCGCAGCCTGGCGATGTAGGAGAAGGTGGATAATGGCTCGGAGAAAGAGTAAGTCTGATACATCATCCATGTAAGTGAAATTGTAATTCCTCCGTGCTCCTATCCTGATCATGAAGTTGTTACAGTAACTCGTGGTGTCTATAGATTCGGCTAGACACAATCTAGTGAATGTCGTGGACGTTCTATCCCATCGGATACGCCATGGACAATGCCACTTGATAACGAGGATATCCCACATAAGACAAACATGGCGGTGGATCTATTTGAATTACACTGGAAGGTGAAGCGTCGTTCTACTTTGCTCCAATCGTACGATCAAGTCTTGAGACACATTTCTTGCGATAACTTGGAGCCGGTCATCGCAATGCATCGTGGCCGTCTGAGCACAATGGACTTTGATGTTTGTCGGTCCCACCCAAGCTCTTCCGATCTCACCGTCTTCTGGATAATATGAACAATTTCCTCAGGACGCTGTATGCATGGCAAATGACGACGCCGATCTGTGCCACTTCATGAACAGTACGGCTTGCGTCAACGGTTCGCCTTCATTTTCATATTTCGCAAATCGAGACACGGAGCGGCGATGCGGTTCGCGGGAGCAATTTCCCCTCCCAACTTTCCTCGGCTTTCCAAATGCGTCTACTAGAAAACCGAGCGGAACAGTTCTTTCTGATTTAGCTCGGTGTGGGTAACGGTATCGCACCCAACCCAATTGCCCACTGCATCGTGCACAGTCGCATGATGCGCACATGCGAGGACGGTGCAATATCCACTGGATCAGGGGCTTGTCTTTCCGCGAAGTCTTTCCCCCCTCTGAATGAATGAACGCAACCGGATTGGAGTATTGATGATGGGCTCAGATGGGTGCAAGGGCCCAAGAAACGCGATTGAAATCATCTGCGCCCTGGATGGTGGCCCGGTATTGCGATCTGGGGTATGTTCTATCCGGATGCCTGGACGCTCCCAAAGCAGATAACAAGGTTAGAGTTCGCAAGGTCGAGTGTTCATCGCGTCTGCTCCCATACCGGAAATGGTGTGAGTAGATGAGTGGGCCTCTCTGCGCAAATGATTTGAGGAGATCACGATTTGATGGGAAGGACTTGCTTGGGCCTTTGTGGGCCACGGGTCCGGAACGATGACCTCTGTATAGACTCTGCTGTTCTGTATAACCGTATGGTGATCATTGAGGGTTCATCGCTGTGAGTGACCTTTGGATGCGGGCTGGAACCTTCCTTCCCCTTCCCGCGACGCTTGGACCGCAGCGATGACGATGTGGTGTTGCACGTAGGGCTAGATCCCCGCACTCATACTCGAGCCAATGGTCCAAGCACGCAAGGAGGACGCCTAAGCAGCATTCCAGCTATAAGCTCGAGGGGCACAGGTTCTAGATCTCGCTGACCCATCGAGAACAGAGAAGAGGACACGTTCGGAACAAGCGCACCAATTCTGGACTTCGCTCCGTTGCTTTCCTTATGATGCCTTGTCATGAGGGGTTCCCTCTGAGAAATGGAAGGTAATCTCCTAACCGATTTAAACCCGAAGAGACATCTAGACCATGTGCGGAGACGTGGGGGCGACTGAATACTGTCATTCGAGACCTACGCGAATTGAACTCAAAATGTCCCAAAGTCCACATACTCTGTTGCATCCGAAACATACAGAAAGGCACAACATCACACGTAGCAACGGCATCTCGAGTGCAGCGTTTCGCCCGATGGGAGGATGAGGGAAATATTCAAATCGAGGTGAGAGCCTCAAACATATGAGGGCCTGAAGGCGGCTGCAATCCCTGGACACCGCAGTCAGCCGATGATATTCCGTCTGAGAACGGTGAGAAGGACTCTCACCTGGGTCACCTCCGTCATTGAAGGAAGTCTGGGTTATTTACGGGATAAGGGTCCGCGGGGACGCCGCAAGGGCGATCACCAGGTTCGCTCAACGAGAACTGTCTATCGCAGGACGAAACACGTGTGCCGACTGGCGGGGATCTTCGAAGACTGTCAGCGTAAGTACTACCCTGGAATGATGGTGGAGTCCGGCTGCTATAGTGAGATTGAGTGAGGGTCTTCCAGAGAGAAATGTCAAGTGAATGGCGTCAGCGGCTCAGGAAGAAACAGCGCAAAGTAAACGCCAATGAGATGCGGAAGACTCAGGTCAGTGGCGCCCCGGGGTTTCCTGGTCAGATTGCAGATATCTGGTACAATAAACCCCATCTCCTCGCGTGCGACGTACTTACCCG